ATCCGACTCACGAGCCTGTTTTAATCCGCGTCTAGTCTGATAGCTGCTCCACTATCTGCTGGCGGTGTATGTGCCGAGTAGCCCATTGCTAGGTTTGGTGCCCCCTAAGTGAACCACATGATAGATACGCTGGACCAATATGGAGCTAGATCAAGACACAGCAGACGTTATTCGCGTTGCACTCCCATAACAAATGCCGAACATGGAGCACGTGGCGGTGGGCGTTGGTGGATGCTCACGCCGTGCCAGCCAACAGGGCCGATCTTGCCTCCAATCTTCTTGACACTGGGCACACGTGGGGGAGGAAGGAGAGTGTGCGGTAGATGCTGCGCAAGTCACAGCGTTAGCCTTCAGCGTGCCAAAGCAGGCGGTGGACACTGTCGAAACCAACGGTCGAACTGTCCCTGCTAGGCTGACAGACAGTCCGCCTCTTCCGGGAATTTTTTTAATCCTAGTGCAACTGGCTATTTATGAAGTAGCACATTAGGACTTTCGTGCTGACCTGGCCCGCTTACCTGTGCGGAACAACTCACGGGCGCCTTTTGTAAGTTGACTTTGGGAGACCACATCCTTCTCCTTCAAACCTCGATTTTTGTTCACCGTCCTTGCTCTCGACACCGCCAATTACGCCTCTCCTTTCGACCCCCTGTCTAGGTTCTGGACAGCGTGACTCTAGAAAATTTGGAGATTCTCTCCACCGGAATAAAGGGTTCAATAAAGGGCAGCCTACTCGAACGTCTCGATTCATGCTGTACGCCTTTTGGTGAGTCCTGGCAAACCTAATCTTTCGCTTAAAGCCTACCTGTAAATGCTTGCTCTTCTTTCACACGTCTGGCACCCCTGCTTTCTGTATAGGTCGAAGGCTGCTGCGTTCCTGGGTGGTCAATCCACCATGCCACCCGGCCACCATTACCAGACGTCAGGATGCTATAGAAGAGCTGATGCTATTGGCGCCCCAACTTCAGGGCGTTCGTGATGGCCTTCGGCGTCTGCCTGACCTTGAGCGCCTTTTAACCAAGTAAGCTCTCAGCAGCTACTACCCCGATAACTGCTAATGCTGCCGCTACTGTCACTATTATGAATATCATTATACTTATACTACGACTACTGTTGCCGCTACTAGTACTACTATCGCTGCTACTACTAGTATTCTTACAACCATTAATACGACTGCTACTACCATCACCACCGCTACTACTATAACAACTGCTACTACTTATATTACTACC